GCCAGAGATTTAAGTATAATATAATTTTATTTTTATCCTACCATTTTTAGCGTTGTCGTCTGTTATTATTATTTACAAAATATTTGTTGGGTTAGCTTGTATACTATTCTTTTCTTATTCTTATAATATGTACATTAGTACCTAAGTACTCGTAACAAGGTATGTTTACTAATTTTGTTATAGAAGTTGATGATGAAATAAATTTCAGAATATTAGTTTATCATAAAAATATTCAGACCGGTACCTAGGAGGTAGCGTTGATGTCTTTTATACGCTACCAAATATCAGGATATAGTTTGAGCAAAAAGGGAATTATCATACATATTTGAAATGTATAGTCATTAGATTATATTACTTACATAGTTGTTATATTATATTACTTTACTTTATTTGCTATTTAAATTTTTCTTATATTAGTGTATATACTAGTATAGATACAATATTTTACTTAATTTGGCCTTCAGGTGCTAGGTTTAACCAAAACGTGATTATATTTTAATTACGATGTCTTAAAAGAACAATAGATGAATCTGCTACAGAAGTTACGGTGTGACTGTATCTAAGCGATAAAGCGTTTAATTGTTAAATATTACGTAATAATTTCGCAGTTCGTAACTAAAATAACCACAATAAATACGTTTTCTGTTTTAGCCATGTAAAATTATTGATTTGTTAAAATATTTTTATGTATATAGAAACGCTGTTACTATAACTACTGTTATCTTCTATGTTATAAATCGTACATTTACCTCAAAAACCTTACCTTTTTGTATTAAACGCATTATGGGTTTACGCAAGTGTGCGTGGGCGGTGGTCCCGTGCTTTACCTACACAAGTAAATCATTTTCGAAGCAGTCTACACAAAACAGTTTTACTTCGCAGGCTGTTTGGTCTAGTTCGCCATTGCAAGTTCATTGTTCCGCTAGTGCGGGGAACTCGTTGAAGTCGTAACCGCCTAATAGTTCGTGAGTATTTTTTGCGTCAAACTTTGGCCCTCGATGGAGGTAAAGCGTTTTTGTGGAGTCATCCCAGGTCACTTACGACATTTTACTATTTAGTTCTGTTTTGTTGTTGGCGTTAATACGCCAGTGAGTCACGCCGTTAGTTATATCAAAATTCGATAAATCTATATCGATAAAACGTTTTTGTCTCTATCTGTCTTTGAATATGACATAAACACGAACAATTGTTAAGCTGGCTTATGAAGTCTTCAAATTATACGTAAGAAAATAAGTCTTCAATAATAAATTAATATAATAGGAAATAATTTGATTACTTCTAAATAAATGTAATAAATGGAATACTAGTTGACTTCGATCAACACAATGTAGCGTAAATATTGTAGGAGAAACAACCTATCGTGTTAATTGTACACTACTTGTGTCCAAACAAATAGCTTTCCTAAATAAATCTATGTATTAATTTTATGGTTAATTCTGACATCTCTTTATTATATGACTATACTAAGTATAGTATCTCCGTTGTAGTTTTTTCCGTAACTCCATTTTTTATATAGAATTAGTCCGCTCCTAAGGTTCGTAGGTTTTACAATTTAAAAAGAATTTTTCAAACCTGAACGCGTACAAACAAACGATATATCTTCGGTTACATAATATAATTATGTTTCTCCTTTAGGAAGTGTAAAATTCGATTGTTCTATAATAAATAAACATAGTTTCGCGGTAACAATAAACATAATATATGTAAAAAAATAAATAAATATCGATTGTGACATGATCGTTGGACAGCACTAGTCGCGGCGAGCGCAGCAGTCGGCCGGCTCCCTGCGCACATCCGCTTGCGCGCTCAGCCCCGCGCTCGTTCGAAGCCCTACTCACGCCATAACATAACAGACGCTTAAAACTTAAATTAAACAATATACAAACTTTTAATATTATTACTTTTAGTTACTTTGAAAGTGTTGTGTTGAGTGAAGTGTATCATAAAAATGTACCATAATGTGTTGTTTAATTAATATTTAGTTAAAACCAAATAATTATTATCGCTTTGACGTTTAATTATATATATTTTTTATGTCTTTGTGTTAGCTTTAAGTGGATTTAAAATAAACTATAAAGAAGGAAATTGTTAACTTGTGGAAAGTAAGTATAACTATCGAATATCAGGTAATTGGATAGATAAAATATAAGCGTAGTGAAATTCTATCTTACGTCGCCTTTGTAAGTAAATTAGAAAAGAAACCCTTCACGTTCAATTTAAACGGATTAACAGGTCCGGGCAAAAGGTGTGTTGGTAGCACGTATGTATGAATGTATGTAAACCAATATCCTTTAACCGCATTGCCATATATTCTGGAGCGATATTGTAACATAAGTGATAAGTTTCTTACTTGCATATTTCATAGTGTTCATTCATACATTTATGTATGAAGAGTGCTTTACAAGTTTTGATTAAAACTTTAAAAACCTACAATCCCTTATTTTTATAAAGTTCAGTAGAAAACAGACTAACAACTACTTATACTTATTTTAAATGTTTTAATATTACTATGTAGTAGGTACATGTTTATTGCCGACTTGTCTAATCCCGTGAAAGACTCAGGGTCTCACCACAGCTATAATATATGAAATCAATTCGGTATGGACTTTAGATGACGTAAGGTAGTCGGTATCATTTTGTTACTATGGAACAGATCTTGTTAAAGATGGTCTAGGTAAAAAAACTTTGAATGTACTACGTAAATGTATTAGTTTCGAGACTCTTATAAAAAAAGAATCAAATGATTTGAAATAAGATGTAATAATAGCGTCCCTACAATAATTAAGTCTCTAACCTAACATTATTAAACATTAGTGTTTTTAGCGCCTTTTTATTTGAATTAAAAATAATAAACTGCTTCCCCATCTATTTGTATACATATACGTAACTCGTATATTTTTCATTAAAGAATCGATTTTACCAGTTAATTAATGAAAGTCTTTCTTGTCTAATCGCCTTTTTATAATAATATGTAAACAACAAAATAACTAACAAAAGTATTTGTTATTAAGATACGTACTTAAAAACGTTTCACGGCAATTATTCAATTTTTTAACTTATTGTAAGAAAAAATTATAATGTTATATTTGTTTTATACCTGAAACTGTAAAGCAACTTATGATGATAAGACGCATTAAAGTTATTATATTGCACGCACATTGCAAATCACTACTTAAAGTTAGTGTACTCAAAGTGTAGCTCAATCTCATTGGAACAGAACTATCGGTTCCATCGAACCGTTAGCATAAAATTCTGACATATACTCGTAATCCGAACTAGAAAGCTTAGATATATTAAAACCATATAATGATATGTTGTTCATTTATAAATATATAGCCAACATTATATTTCGTTTATATGTATATGTTAAAATTGTAAAAGTTACTCAATTCATACTTTCATTATGTAAATATAGTAATGTATTTTTTTCTTATTTAAATTGCTCTATCATCTACATAACTATTATATATTTTAAACAACTTAAAATGAAACTATATTATGACAATATTTGATTTTATTGCCAAATAAACTTATGTTCTAGCTCTATATTAAGAAAGGACAAGCTAATATGTCCCGGCCTTGCTACCTCCTTTCGACCCACGCGCGAGCCTTGGCCAGCGCCAACATCCAAACCTTACTTTCATTGTTTAGGTGTACCTTTGATATTCTGACTTATACCTTATTAAAGAAACATAAAACATGTGTACTAACTTTGTGTTTAAAGTGTAATGTGGCTAATATAATGTTAGGTATAATCGATTAGAAATATACCAGAAACTATAATCCGAATCTTTCACCAAATTAGAATTTTATATCCTAGTAAATGTTCGTTTTTCTCTATTTATCTTTGATTAGACATTATTATTAAGTTCATGCAACTACTAACGATTCAAATAATATATTTGTGCCTTTTATCACGTAGTATAACATTGTCACATTACGGACTTCTATTGATGTCAGTACTGCGTTAATGCGCGCTTAATTCATTCTATATGTGTTAGTTACTTACGTACTTTGTAATTAGGTATAGTTAGGAACGTGACGACAGTTGCTTTGTATGAATTTACGCTGACTTTGCATACTAATTTAATATCTATTGTTCAATCATTAATAACCAAATTGAGGCATATATCGAAAAAACTGTTCGTGTTACCCAAGATGCCTCTTGACAAAAGTAGTGTTCGGTTAAATGATTCTCATCACGTCCTCCGTGTTGCTTCTAATGTTTATTTATGAGACGGCATAATGTTTTGTGATTGAATAAATGTATCTAATAATATTATGACAAAATATGCCTATATTACTTAACTTAACTTACGTAAAAAATAATAATGTTTCAATACTTAATCACCCAACATTTTTAACAACTAGTGCGCATATTTTCGGTTAATGCTTGAACTGAAAACCTTTTTATGTATCATATTATAGTACAAATTTTTCTTTATAACATAGTTTCCTTGCTATATTGGATTAGATTATTAGATCGTGCTTCACATCGCTTTCGACTCACGAAGCGCGGGCCACCCATCCGTGGTACTTTCTACAGATGAGCATTTACACTCCATGAACATATTTTACTATGGGAAAATAATGTTAGATTGTAAATAAGTTAATATGGATGATATATTTGAACCTAGCATGAATGATAACTAACATCTACCATAAATACTATAAGTTAATTAAAGAAATATATCCTACAAGTACATTTTTTAATTTCCATTAATTAATAATAATATTACATTTTAATATGATACGCCTGATAAATTATAATACTTATTAGTAACTGACTACTTTTTGCTTATTTACATTTTATAGGAGCTGGCTTATATTACTTTTAAAATATATCGAATAATTGACTTTAAACTTACTCAAATCTAGTGAAAGAAGTATAATACAACAAAATTTGTTTAATTTAAATATGTACAATAATCACACCCGAATGTATATAAATAAATGAAATGTTTTTAGGAGATATTTACATATAAATTAATTGTTTGCAGATTGGGGCGTCCATACTGAGCAAAGCGAAGTGAGTGAGCCCGAGGCCGGTCGCATGCGTCCCGAGGACTATCGTCTCGTGTTTCTAAGTTCAGACTCCTCCTGTCGCGAGGACACGGAAGACTCGGCTTCCACTGCGTCCTCTGCCGCGCCGCCCGCGCCCGACGATTGTGATTGGGACTATTTCGAGCCGGGCGCGGCGGCAGCACCTCTACCATCACCCCCATCGACAAAGCACATACCGCCAGCGTGTCCACGTGCTTGCTCCTGTGGCGCCGAACCACGTATAGTCGCCGTACCTGTGCCAGTACCCGTGCCGGTTCCAGCTGCGCTTTGGCCGGCACTTCTCGCTTTCCCCACACAGACGCCACCCACCCCGCATTGGAGTACGTATCCGGGATTTCCACCTCTCGATGCTGCGGCTCTCGCACGGCTCACGACGGCCGCCGCCGTCGCAGTCACCGCCGCCGCCACCGCGTCCGCTCTACCGCAAAATAGACTCGAAATGACCATAGAAAGAACTGATAAAGCGATACAGTCCGAGCTACAAGTGCCCGAGACCGATAACGATAAGGAAGATAAGAATATTGAACGCACAGTCGAACATGAAACTTTGGACGGAATTAAGGTGATCGCCGAAAATTCAATTCCAGTGCTATTGGAACCCGTGGACGCGATGCCTGACCATCTGGAAGCGGAAAAAGCCTTTCCGTCTTCGAATGAATCTGCCAATTCAAGTGATTCTGAAGCCGGTATCGCTCGGCGAAGCTATGACCTGCGTAGTGGCGCCCCGGAGGAGCCGGCGACGTCGGATGAAGACTCGGACGACTCAGGGGGAGGAGGGGGTCAATTTTCTCGAGTCTTCGTAGTTAACCCTGCGGATTCATCTTCTGACATGGAGGATAATGCCGATAGCAGCGGTATCGACTGTGACGACTCCTACGATAAAAAGTCAGATAGTTTAGAGATAATTGCCGCAGAAATACCATTACAAAATAACATAAATATTGAGCCGGAAATGAATGAAAATGTTCCTCAAAATAATGATAACGTTGTATTTTTGGAGTCCGTTCACTTTTCACAAGATTTTCCGATGGTTCAATATAGTGGTGAAATTAGTGAAAATGCTTCCAAAAAATCGAATTTTGTTCAATATTGCGACGAAAATATGTTACGAAGTGAAGTTTGTGAAAAATATAATAGTTTTAATACTATTAGTGACGCCTATTCGAGCTCAAGCTGGGGTTATCAAAATAATGTAGAAAATAACTGTAATAGTAGTATTTTAGAAAATATAGAGTGTGATTCTTTAGATAATTCATTTAATTCAGACTGTAATATAAAAGTCTCCGTACAATTGCCGTTATGTGATAATAACAACGAAAAAATAATTTCAAAAGACTCGAGACACGAGCAATTAAGAAAATTATCACCCTCACCGGAACTAAAACAAGAGCAAACGAGTTTGTCGACCTTACCAACAGCAACAGAAGAAAAAATAGACCTGTTTAAAGGTATTGAACGCACGCTTAGTGAGTTATTGAAGAAAGAATTAATGGAGGACCAAGGGGAGGAGAAAATGCACGGTTCGCGGCCGGTTTGCGCCGAGACGGAGGGGAGCGCGGGCGCACCTGTAGCGGCAACAGTTTGCCGTTCGCGCCCGGCGAGTGTGGATGGTTCCGCGCGTTTTACTAGCCGCGTTATGATAACGCACGATCGTGTCTCCGTTGTCACGTCAGACACGACGCGACTCATGCGTGACATTACAGTGCATCACACTAACTTGCAAAACGAACCGGAACCGGACACTGGTGAACAAAACGAAATAAACGAACGATCTGACGACGAATCGGCGCAACCTTCAAGTGGAGTGACTGTTGTTAGTAATGCCAACACTCTCTCAGCGGTCGTGTGTCTCGAGGAGGGGCTAGCAGATGACGACTCGTGGGTCGAGGACGTCAGCCACGACGATGTCACTTCACCATCGGACACGGATTCGGGGGACGAAGCGACTTTACCCACGCGTGGGGAAGACTTCGCTTACTGTAGGCGGTCTTTAGATTTTACGTTACATACGATAGTTGAAGAAAGTTGTGAAGAAAGTGAAACCGAACATATTATTAAGAAACAGCGTCCTATTTCGGCAACTGAGCTCGAAAAATATTTTTTCTTCGGCTTAGGGGAGGGAAGGGTTGTTCGCGAAGATGAAGACGCGGTATCGGAGACATCGAGTGTATGCAGTGAGGGTGCAGAATCGTTTGTTGATACGGAGCAACCGCGAAAGAGTGGTGATAGTGACGAACTTGTATCTTCGCGCTTAGAAAATTATTTCTTGTCTGGCTTTATGGGTTTTAATCAAGAACGGCGTGACTCTGATGGATCTGGAAGTGTTGGTAGTGATAGTGAGGGGAAACAAAGTCCCGAACAAAGGCGGAAAAGGTTAGTTAGAGCTCGAGGTACGCCTCGATCCCATTCATCCTCTTTAGATAATTTATTAACCGGCGATGAACCTTCTCAAGATAATCAAGAATCATCAGATGGCTCGAGTACAGAAACAGAAGACCGCCACGAGTCTCTAGAAAGGCTTGATGTACAAGGTGAAACAAAACGAAAAAAGACTAAAAAACCACGAGGATCGCCAGCTGACGAAAGACGACAGTCTGTTGAATTTCCCGAAGAAACACGTGACGATACGCGATCTGTATCAGAGGGTGAGGATGGAAGGTTGTCACCTCGTACTGAATTTCCACCTTTAGGATCTGAACTTTCAGAGTCTAAAAAACAAACAAGTAGAGATAGTGGATTCGTAGGTAGTTGCGACGATTTATTGAGAAACGGTGACAGCAGCTCAGAGTTCACCAGATCTCACGAACCTAAAACAGAACTAGAAGAAATTATAGAGGAAGTGAGGCCTGATGTTGATGAACGCGTCGAGCGACCACCTTCATCTCGACCGCCTCCAAGTCCGCTCACGAGAAAAGATAGCTTTAATAATTGGTCATCTGACGAAGAAACAAACTTAATGATGACAAAAATGCGTCAATTTTTCAAACAGATGATTCACACGGCAAACGTGCGAACATCAACTCCAGCATCTTCAAATTCAGAGAGCCCACGTCCGCCTAAACCACCGCAATTACTTTATTTTGAAAGTGAATTGACTAGATTAATGAAAACAGTTCCGGGCATTCGAGACGAGGAAGTTCGAGAAATCGTAGAATATTTATCTAGTGAAGATACATGGAGTGACTCGTATGATTCTTCTGATTATGCTGGTTCCGATTTAGAAGGTACAGCAAATCGGTCGGCGTTAAGAAGGCAAATCTCAGAGAGTTGTCGTGAGATAATAGACGAATTTGACCGTGGTAATAGCGAAGCTGGCTCTTTAGAGCGAGACGCGGTAGGTGCATATCAAAGGTTGGCAGCGACGCTTGGCCGAGCTGGAGATGGATCCCCACCCTTATTTGGGAAAGTGATGCGGCATATAGGCGGTAGATTAGTAGCACTGATGCATGAGGTGTCAGCAGGTGCATCGCCGAGTACAGATGACGATAGCGCCTCAGAACCAGGAGCGTTAGCGCGTAGTCGATCTCATGATATTTTAGAGGCCACAGCAAGTAGAGGCAGTGTCGCGAGTGACTGTGAGAGATTTTCGTGGCGTGGTAGTTTCGAATCTGCTTTACTTGCCGCTGATTCTCGAGGAACTCTGGGTGGTGGTGCTGAAGCGAGGAGATCCCCTGCAGGAGCTGATCTCGCAGCTCAAAAATCTCATTCGAGGAGCTGTGGTGCTATTAGTGGCAGTGAGGATCGGCTGTGGCGTGGAAGGCGGCGTGCCTCGGCGCCAGATGCAGAGGTAGGAAGCTTAAACATTAACAATTATGTACAGTATTTATGTTCCTATGTATATTACTATATACAATAGTCTTAAGTCATTTACACTACGCTCATTTGTTAGGTCTCTAAATTCAATTACTTAACTGTTATACAATACATCCTACTACTTATTTTTATTAAGTAAAAAATAAATTAAATTAAACCAATCGACGAAATGCACGTCAAAGTACCTAATAAACCAAAATAATGTTGGCCTTAATCACATATTACATACATACATACTTTGTAAGCCCAATATAAATAGCTAGTTTTGCTGGCTAAGATGAAAGCTATAGATAGCCTTAGTCCGTCCCTATGATGCAATGCAATTTATGTCCTTACCAAATACTACGAAATCTATTCAGTGTAAATCACATTACTTAAAAATAACAAACAGACATACAATATTTACATTACTGTTACATTTATAGATTAAAATTAGTATGGATGCCTACAATTACTTATTAAAAATGCTGAAAATATAGCGTATGTGACATTTTGTAAGGATAAAATTATCTTCAATGCATAATAACACTCATGTGTTTTATCAGATCTATCCATTTATAGATAACTACATTGCCCGCGGTTCCGCCCGCGTTCAGATGATCAAGAACCGAATTCTTAGGTTTTACATATTAATATACTGTAACAATACAGTTTTCGTATTTTTTCTCAGAAATGAGATATTTTCCTGCGGTAAAAAGTATCCTATATGTTGACCCGGATAACCAGTTGTTATCATACCAAATTTCATCAAAATCTGTCCAGTGGTGTTTTCGTGATGCGGTAACAGACAGACAGACAGACAAAAATTCTAAAAATATAGATTCGGACTCTGTATCGATAATAATGTCTACTGCAATTAGATTTTCCAAAAAATATTTAATGTACAGATTCGACTTAGTTACAATTTTATTATATGTATCTAAGATATCTTACGATAAAATTATTGTGATCTACGTTACGTTATAATTTGTTTATATTTTGTAAAACGCGTTGTGTTTTTAATGTTAATACTCAAATAAGTGTTAACTTATTTTATAGCTTTTTAAATTGACAATTCTATCTCAATATGTCTAAAGTAAATGGCCTAAAAAACAAGTAGGTACTTACTTTACTAACATACTTACTACAACAATATCGAAGATGTGTTCAATACGCTTTCAGTTTGATTTTCTTTAATTACGTAATTAGGTACGTGTCAACTTGAAGTCTGACAAAATTGCATATTACGCGTATATTACCAAGAATTTCTAATTTATTCATTTATTATCGTATTTGCTTATGAAGTTATAATTAACGATGATTGAACCAAATTATTTTTTACGCTATAATTATGACAAATTATTAAATTGTAATATTGATTTTTCTATAAAAAATAAATTGTGTGATTTTATTGCATACTTTATTCAGATAATATATTCAAAAACATTCAAAATGAATTTCTAGTTCTCTGGTTTAGTAAAAAGATCTATATTAATTATAATACACAAAATAAAATAATATTAAAATACTAAGCATAATATATGAATATAGACTAAATATATTACTTAAATCATTTTGACAATACACAAAGGAGTCTCAAATTAGATATTATATTATTATATTATCACGTTACACAACTTGATTCGCTTGATAGAGTAGGTATTTAATAATAATAGTGATCGCTGTGACACATTATTTTTATTTATATCTTTGGTTAAGACGTTCACAAAAGTAAAGTTTGATAAAATGTGTTAGAGCTTTAATTGTATCTAATCTACTACGAAAAAATCCGAATAAATAGTTTTATTTAAAATGTCAAATATTCGCGTAAATCTAAGAAAGTATTAAAACACGTGCTTACTTTAAAATTTGTCTTTTTATTTATTTTAACATAAAGCTTAAGAAAATTATTGCATATCATTGTCAATTATTGCAGTTATTAGTAAGTAATATTATGTTTGTATAGTCTGAAGAAGAGCAACGCGCCGGGTCACTACCGCGGCTCCCATCCGTCACCGGTACAAACACAGTACCGGCAGGTCCGGTGAAGTCAGCACGGTATCGTGCGCCGGGCTTCAGGACTGCGACTAGGGCGGCTTCAGCGCCGGGCCTTCATGTTCCTAGACGACGTAGGGCTCCGCCCACGCCTCAACCGACGGCACCCTCTGCGCCTGCATCCGCCCCTAGCTTACAGGGTATGTATAATATCACTACATATTATAAATTAACGTTGAATTTGTGTTTGTTAACAGTAATCTCAGAAAATACTGTACGAATTTTCTTACTGTTCTCACCAATAGAAAAAAGAAGAATTATCGAGGATTTTTTTCTAAACAGAATGCAAACATAATGATACTTGTGAATCAAGTTGTAAATATCGTCTCTTCTAATCGATATCTTATAATCGATTTTAAATATTTTCACTAATTTTATCTTCTATGATGAAACATATCCAAACCTTAAAAGCGATGCGACAATTATTTTTAGGTATACAAAGAAAAAAAAAATCACATTTAAATAGGGAGGGATGTGACACTTTTGTTAGAATTGGATGTTAGTTATGTGTCAAGATTTCCAGGTGTGTTAAAGATATATGTTACAAAAAGTAAAAGCTACTTTAATTAATAAAACAGTTATCATTCTTAAACTGTGAAATAAAACCGATCTCGTGTTATCTCCTTCGAATTCCTGCTGACTGGTGATAGTAAAATTAATATTGTACCTACTACTCTATAAATGTACTTACTACTATATGACTACCTATAGGTATTTTACAATAATTTTATTATATGTATACATATACTTATGCTATGTGTCTTAATCTTTTCTTTAATATCTTATAAATATAACACTTTCATATTAATGATCTCCAACACCAACGGCTATTGTATGTACGTGTAACTAAAATAAAAAGGCATATTTTTAACCCCCGACGCAAAAACGACGGGGTTTTATAAGTTTGACGTGTCTGTGTTTGTGGCTGTGGCATCCTAACTCCCGAACGGATGAACCGATTTTGATTTTGTTTTTTTTTTGTTTGGAAGGTGAATTAGTCGGGAGTGTTCTTAGCTATGTTTGACGAAAATCGGTCCGAGATGGTCGGGGTTTTTTATTATTTTTTAATTTTTTCACTACAACTCATTAGTGAGCACACCGCCATTCTTAACTTCTTTTCACATGATATATGTTAAATATGTTGGGACATTAACACACAGCGCCATCTAGTTCCATAGTAAGCTACGAGGCTTGTGTTATGGATACCAGATAGTTGATACACTACATACATAACTTTTAAATACACTACATATTATAAATATAAACACCCATGTACAAACATTCGTGCTCATCACACAAATGAATGCGCCCAGCGGGACTCGAACCCGCGACCACTGGCACTACAAGTAGGGTCACTACAAACTATATATATATAAACTGAAAGCCGTAATATATAATATGTTATATGTATATAATGTAATAGTAATATTATTACGTAACACTCGACATTCAGCTTGACAAATATGTGATATTTGTGGTTCGAATGCATTACAGCTAGTTTGTAATACCTAGATAATTAAAGGTTTCGCGAGGCTGTTTACGATAAGCTGTATGTTATATTTTTTCTTGTTAGTAGTGTTGCAATTTCTTTGACGTTCATAAAAAATCATTTTAACGTTGTTAAAATACGAATCTAAACTTTCATTTTAATGGGTTACCTTTTACAATTCTATAATTTCTATTTTAAAATTTTGATTGATATAAAACTTATCAGATTGTTGTTGATACCTACAAGCTTAGTTCTAAAAAGTTCATTACGCTACGCCTTTTACTTTCGACAAATGCCAGAAATATTAACACGCCCTAGTCTTTGATACAAAGCCGGTATGATCATTATTACTCTCACAGTTATCTCTTAAACATTCTACTTACGTAATCAGTTTTGCCTACCCACGGCTACCGACGAAATAGCGTATTATAGTATATAAATACGTATACTTAATAAAAAAGGTATATATTCTCAACTTATTAAAGTGTGTTAGGTACCTAGTAGGTACGTATGAACGTAATACGATAATTTACCCATATTTACGACAGACATTGTAATTTAACAACACTTATTTTTATTCTTATCAAAGCAAAGCATGAATTTAATTTATGTTAATTTTTATTATATCTCATATATGTACATTATGTATATGTATAAATCAATAAATAGACCAAGCCAACCCATCGAGTTGTTAAGAGGACACTGCACGTTTGCACGTACACTGGATACTGCAATTTTGAAATAACAATTATCAATTTTGTATTCTTTTTTAAAGATTTCAGTAAATTAAATAAATATAGTAACTAAATTTTGAAAACTAAAGGCATCCATAATATATATAATTCTTTAGTTTCGAAATCGTAAACGTTTAGTTTAGAATAGATTTTGATATTTATGCTCTCGTGTAGTTTATATTATACGTTCAATTTTATACATATATTTTAACTACTTTTATTTCAATTCTGTCAGAAATTTAGTTATAAATTTTGCATGAAGTCTGTAATCAAATAAGAAATATTGTATATATAATAAATGTATATTGTTAAATTACTATCTTAAACCTAAATATAACTTTGTATGTATGTTTACTTACATTTAGGTTTAAGTAAAGTACACTTTTATGCACACTCTTATATTTTCTGTATCCTTCTCTATCGGTTACGTGTAAGAGATCGCTTACATATTAAGGCTGCCATTGCACATTTATTTTAAGTGTATGTATTTTCTATTTCTTTTTTGTGTATATACAATTTTACTGTGCAATAAAATGTTAAAAACGGCGTTGTTATACTGATAAAATGCACTCCGCGGTTATATTAATGGCAAATATAATGAATGAGTGTATCCAAGTTTTCTAACTTCAGGTCAGCGAACTCTTAAATCGAAATGCTCTCCACGCGCCAATTAGCGGTCACAGATTGTGGTTCCATTACTTTAGAAAAATTTAATTCCATAACAGTTTTTAGTAAATTTTCTCTTTTTTCCCCGAATATTTTGCTGTGTCCAAAGTCCAAACAGTGACGTTATTAAAAATGTGCGTACACACCTAATAAAACTCCGCCTTCCTTTTAAAGCTTCTGTTCTATTTTGTAAGAACTTATGCACTCGTAACTCTACAGCTTACTCCACGAAAATACTTTAGGCATGGTGTATAAAGTTCTTATATAATAATAGCACTAACAGATATGTGTACTAGCGACTCACCCTCGCTTCGCTCGTGTTCGTCTCTAGGTACGTTTTAACGATTAATATGGAATAGATAGACTAATACAGGTACGATGAGTTATTGTGGGTTGTATTATGTATTACTGTTTTCCCGGGGAAATGAGATAATCTCCCGTGGTAAAAAAATAACCTATGTCACTCTCCAACCCTCCAAATAACAACTTCACACACTAATCCGTAACTATTACAAAAAACAAACACACTTTCACATTTTTAATATTTATATGTATACTAGCATTGTCCGCGGCTTCGCCCGCGTTCAGGTGACCAAAAACCAAATTCATTGCAGTTTTTGTATTTTTCTCAGAAGTGAGACGTTTTCCCGCAGTATAAAGTATCCTATATGTTGACCCGGATAACCAGCTATCACCATAAGAAATTTTATCAAAATCCCTCCAGTGGTTTTTCTGTGATGCGGTAACAGACAGACAGACAAAAATTCTAAAAACTATAGATTCGGTCTCTGTATCGATAATAATGTCGATTTTATATTATTTTCCAAAAAATATTAAATGTACAGATTCGGCTTAGTTACAATTTTATTATATGTTTAGATAGATATCTCTGTGATAGCACTATTGAAAGCGCATATTTGACACTCCGCTATCTTACGAAAGGTGTTTTCTAAAAATGCTATAAAGAAATCATTCGTATGTTATTATTGCACATACCTAAGTATATTTGAAGTTTTCTACAAGCAAAAAAAGGAGCTAGGTTAGTTTTTTTATATAAAACATAAGCATTCATTAAGTACTCGTATAAGTACTCGTACATTAACTAATTATCAATGCAAAAGTTTGTAGTTACCCTTAAAGCATATATATCCTGGATAGGTCATTGTTTTATTAACATTCCTACCACGCGGGGTCGCGGGCTTAAGCTAGTACCTACGTACGAATACATATATGTTGTGTCAAACTGTTTAATTACTCAAAATCCACTTTTCTGTGCGCTTTTCAATTATTAATTTTAAATATTAATTCATAAAGAAAACCGTCATCTTTTGCTTCCTTCTATATTACATAATAGCTATGTAGTTTATAAACACATAAAACGTATACATAATTTAAACAAAGCAAGTATTTCCTGAGTCGTCACGCCGTTTTGATATACTTGACCAGGTTAAAAAGTAGACCTAACTGTAGTATAACTATTTTCTGTGTTCGTGACTCGATTTCTTTGTTTTGAGTTGCGTGATAGCCCTAATATAATTTCTCCAATGTTAATTAATTCAAATGAACATCTTCATTTTACAATAATAATGAACGAGCGTTGTCGACGCAGAATTTGCTTGACTAAACTGTTATTTCAATCATTAATGCTAACGCATCTTGCATTGTATGTCATTTTTTTTAAAGTACCTACACGTTTCTTAAAATACAAATATAGTAACGAAGAAAATTACAGAACAGTATATTATGCTATTATCGTTTAGTAAGTAGGTATACTTTGGAAAACCAAAAAGACATGTCTTTAACTAATATAGGTTTTAAAAACCTTTGAAGCGTTGTAATATCCACCTTCTGGTCCATATACAGGCATAGTACAAGTACAAAAGGTCACATTTTACAAATACATATGTTACAAAACACTTGAAGTGATAAAAGTGTTTAAAACAATTCTATGGCAATATGTTATACTATTTTCATCTAAAAACAATTTAGTACTCTGGCAAAGAACTACCTATATATTTTCACTTATTTGCAACACTTGCTAGTGTTGTTGCACATAGCGTAATACCTTTCGAAAAGTCCCAATACCGGTTCACTGATAACGTTTCCGGTTTATCAGATGTAACCGTACTTGCTCGACTACATACGCAATACGATTCGGCATCTCGTTAAGTTCTGGTTTTAGTATTTGCGCTGTGTTAGCTGACCTTACTGAAGTGAACCAAAAATGTTACTCAACGTCTACTCGATTTGACCCGGATCCAAACAGTATTGTTTCTGTTACTTTGCAAATGTTCACAGCAATTATGTTTGGGTATTATATGCATATAAGAATATATTGGGATTTGATTCTTTATGTAATGAATTGATTTAAGAAATGTTTTACGTTTCGTGTGTATTTGTGTGTGTGTTTGGGTGGTATTGCGTGTTCACTGTCGTTGTGTGT